GCTATGTGACTGGTGGTCCATACACCAACATTAAATGGAGACTGATTATGGAATAAATCCACTAGTTATGTTTGTGTGGATCTCTCATGGTTCAGTATTTGGGGTGTAAAATAAAATTGTCTGGGAAACCCTTCTGGCACTTGCTTTAATTTGTTATGGACTTCCTGCATCTAAGTACAAATTAAACTGGAATTCTGGGATCATATAACTAATCTTGAAACTGCTCCCGGCCCCTTCTAACACCTGTACTAAATATTATTATTATTATACAGGATTTATATAGCGCCAACAGTTTGCTGAAGAAAGATGCATAGAATTAGCTCGTTTCAAGCCACCCTAGTCTGGTCACATCATCTGCTCCCCTCTCTCAGCTAGCAGTACCTTCAAAGGAGAGAAGGGACCACCGACAACAGATGGCCCGTAGGAAGCCTATGGGTGACGTCATAGCTCAGGTATTCCATTCATGGTCGAAGCGCTCTCTCCTCTGTAGCCATCACTGGCTGACACAAAGGAGGTTACATGACCAGATTGGAGTGGCCTGAGAATAGGTAAGTATATGCATCTTTCTTCCATAAGGTTGTTAGTATAGGTCAGTGATGGCGAACCTTTTTGAGCCCGAGTGCCCAAACTGCAACACAAAACCAACTTTTTTATTTCAAAGTGCCAACACTGGAATTAATCACTTGCCTACCGGGCACTTCTACCCCCTTCCTGCCCAGGACAATTTTCAGCTTTCAGTGCTGTTGCACTTAACAATGACAATTGTGCGGTCATGCAACACTGTAACCATATGCAATTTTTATCATTTTTTCACACAAATAGAGCTTTTTTTTGGTGGTATTTAATCACCACTGGGTGTTTTATTTTTTGCACTATAAATGAAAAAAGAGCAAAAAATTAAAAACATAAAAGGTTTCCTTTGCTTCTATTCTAAAATTTAGCAAACAGGTAATATTTCTTCTTTGATGTGCGTTGGTGAGGCTGCACTGATAGGCAGCACTGATGGGCATTGATGAGGCGGCACAGATAGGTAGCACTGATGAGGCGGCACTGGTGAGCATTGATGAGGAGGCACTGATGATGCACTGATATGCAGGAAATGATGGGCACTGATAAGCGGCACTGACTGATAGCACCAACTGGAGGCACTGACAGACGGCACTGACCAGCGGCACTGCTGGGCATCACTGATGGGTGGCACTGATGGGCAGCACTAATGAGGTGTCACAGATAGGTGGCACTGATAGGCGACACTGATAATGGGTACTGATAGACAACACTGATAGGTGGCACTGACTGACATCACTGCTGGGCACTGACTGGCACAACCGCTGGGCACTGACTGGTGGCACTGACTGGCAGCACTGCTGGGCTGCACTGATGGGCACTGGTGGGTGGCACTGGTGGGCACAGGTGGGTGGCACTACTGGGCACAGGTGGGCGGCACAGGTGGGTGCATTGCTGGGCACAGGTGGGTGCACTGCTGGGCACAGGTGGGTGCATTGCTGGGCACAGGTGGGTGCATCGCTGGGCACAGGTGGGCGCACTGCTGGGCACAGGTGGGCGGAACTTGTGTGTGGCACTGCTGGGCACCGATCATCAGGGCACTGATGATCAGTGACCCTGATGATCGGTGCCGTTCCCTGCTCTGACAACTGCCGGTTTTCGGCAGTACTTTCCTCACGATCTGACAGCGTGAGGAAAGTGCAGCCGAGAACCGGCATTTGCATTTCCCGGTGATCAGCGTGTCATTGGACACGGCTGATCACGTGGTAAAAGGCCGCTGTGATTGGCCTTTTACCACGTCACGTGATCAGCTGTGTCCGTAGGACACAGCGATCACGGAGATCGCCCGGTGCGCAGGAGAGCGCGTTCTCTTCCTCTCTTCCTCCTGGCGTGCCCACTGAGATGGCTCTGCGTGCCAGCTCTGGCACGCGTGCCATAGGTTCGCCATCACTGGTATAGGTAGGTCGTAGCAGGGGTGAGGGGGCAGTTTTAAAGCTAGCTATATCAATCCTGGAATTTTACTTTACTGGTACTTTAAGTTGCAATAAACTTCAGTGAGCTTGTATAAGGTTGTTACTTATTAATGAGAGGCCTCACTTTAAAAGGGATAACAAGGACTATTTTAAATTATCAGATTATGTATTTAAAACCTGTTATATCTATGACTGTTGGATTACTTTTGGCGGGCTATGCTTTTAATTATGGTGTGCTAGATTTTGTAAGTCTGTTTTATCAATATTTTCCATTCCTAATAAAAAAAATACATATTGTACAGCTGTTTTTTTTTTCATATAGTTTTTAAGGTTATTAAACCCGTGGTAGCCCTAGAAACAGTCGTGTCAAAGAAAAATATGTTGGGTTACATCCAGAAGCTTCAGTAGGAGATGCAATGGCTATGGTTCAGCATGGGAGAATCATCCTCTAGGAAGAAGGTAAGCTTCTCTTAGTAGAGGTATGAGTTTAATCTCCTATGGACAAAAGCAAAAAAAAAAACTGAGGCAACTGGGAATGGAAGGGGTCATATATAGGGGGTGCCCCTGTACCCTTCTTTTTTGCTAGTATCCAGGCACGTGAAGGTGGCTGCATATAACTGAATAGTAATGAGATCCTGTGTCCCATATTGTAGGACTAAGAAATTCCATTTTTGTTTTTGGGCTTATACACCTTCCTAATTGTTGTGGAAACCGTTACCCATTGCAAAATTCAGTCTAACAGTTAACCGTCCCACATCTAGGTGTATGTGGTTATAAATGCTCAGACACTTTGAGAGTCCTTTTTTTTCCAACTTCAATTCAGCAATGGATATGTATTAAAAAATTATACCATAAAATGTTCCAGTTGCTGAAAGATACAAACCTTAAGAGGATAATATTCAGGCTGTGTTCATATGGAAAGTAGCCCTTGGTGCCCCTCTGAAAATGGTCTGCTGTGGATCTCTTTTTAGAGTGGTTGACATGTAAAACATCTGCGCCACTGCAGCTCTCTAGCTGTGCTGGGAATGTAGTGTGCTCTCCTCTAATGATAGACTTCTCTTAATGCCCCAGTCACCCCCCACCTTGCACAATGGAAACGCTGTAGAAAAGCATGTAATGCGTTTTAAATCTTCCTAGTAACAAGAAAAATAAAAAAAAAGTGCATAAACGGATCAAAACGCAAACTGCATAGGTGTGAATTTAACCTTAACGGCTTTGTACACCTTTATAGAAATAAAAAAAGGTGCACTAACACCAGACACCCTCCCTAGTCCCTGCTGTACTTGCCTCTGGGGTGGCTGAGTCGTATGCACCCCCGCAGCCAGTCCAGGAATTTGAAATCCCCCGCTTTTCTCTGGGCAGCACTCTTGTCACAGACCAGATCGATTTACTGTGCTGGTCAATCAGAATCAATCTGGTCCATCCCAGATGCGCTTCACAGAGAAGAGGCAGAAGAATGGGGATTTCAAATTCTCAGAGAGCTGGACTGACTGTCTGTAGAGGTGCTGACAGCTCAGCAACCCCAGAGGTAAGTACAGCGGGGACTGGAGAGGGTGTCTGGTGTTAGTTCACCTTTACTCTTTTTCTGTAAAGGTGAACTAACACTTTAAGCTTTGAGATTCCTTGTCCCATGCTACACAGAAAGGATGCATGAATCTCATGCTGCGGATATTGTATTTTGACCGCCAGCTATTAAAATACTAGAACAGCAGCTGCATTTGATTGGATGTAGCTGCTTTTTGGATAAATAATTTCTGCTTGGATCCTCCAATTTTTCAGTCGAGGGATGTTGAGTGGGAGGAGGCCGACAGGGCCACTCATTGTGCAAACCTCAGCCGATTCACCAGGAACTGGTTGGAATTCAAATAGTTTATGTTCAGCTTAAGCCCTAAACTGTGATCGCATATGAAAGCAGAGGGACTGGCACATGGAACGCAGTACAGCAGGCATATCAGTAATATGAAGTGTTGGGGTTTACATATTCTTTCATTCAGATTTATGTGTTGGATTTACCCCCTGGGATGTGTTGCATCCTTGAAATTAAAAGAAATATATGAAAGAGCAAATATAGAAAAAATAGGAGGAAATGGGTAAACTGGCTGTCCTTTTTTTTTTTTTCAAACAATAAAAGTTTATTGTTGAGAATTGTAGTGTAACAAAACATGGTGAAATTACAAATACTGCCATAACATCTATAACAATTCTTCTCAGCCTTATAATCACAAAGGGGAATAAGTCTTACATTTGAAAACATGCCAAAAATTGTAATGCAAAGAAGTATTTAGAGATGATAAGATTATCTATGTAAAGAGCTACAAGCTGGTACTAGACCAGATAATATGTAGTGCATATAAACATAAAAGTTCCTTTTCAACGCTCGATTTGATCAAAAACAGTACATTGATGCGGCAATTAAACAGACATCAGTGTCTTATAGATGTCTGAAAAGGTGAAAATATACCAATCTGACCACAATTTATGCTATCTGATCAACTTGTCATCAGTCATGGTTAAAGTTCTTTCCATCTCATGCATCATATCTACTTCTCGAATCCAATCTTGGATAATATAATGATCAGTCTTATTTCCATGCTACCCTGTTAAACCTTCTGCTAGTCACACTTGTCCAGTCCCAGGAGCAGTGAACTTCTTCCTTCCACTCAAAATATAGTGGCAAATGTTTTTTTAAAGGGCTGGTTTACTCTCCCAGTACCCAACCTTACTATTTTCACAGCACAGGCTTAGGACCAGCCATGGCAGAGTTTAAAAAATGGAAAGATAAAAAATTTAAGAAATTTTCACAATTTCAACACTGTGACTGCTGAAAAATATAATTTCTTTTTGTGCGGCGAGAGCGGAGTCCTGTGGCTGGTATTCCAACCTTCAGCCAAGCCGTCTCAGCATTGGAGGGTAAGGTCATGGTATATGGTAAACTATAAGCCTATATAGCAATATATACTATATAATATAATGATAAGTCTCATTTCCATGCTACCCTGTTAAACCTTCTGCTATCCACATTTGTCCAGTCCCAGGGGCAGTGAACATCTTCCTTCCACTCGAAATACAGTGGCAACTGCTTTTTACATTGGATGCTGGTTTACTCTCCCAGCACCCAACCCTACTCTTTTCACAGCATGGGCTTAGGACAGGCCATGGCAGTTTAAAAAAATTGAAAGCTAAAAAATGGTAGACATTTTCCCAATTCCAACGCTGTGCCTGCTGAAAAATATAATTTCTTTTTTGAGCGGTGTCCTCTGGCTGGTATTCCAACCTTCATCCAAGCCATGTCAGCATTGGTGGGTGAGGTCAGGGCATATGGTAAACTGTAAGAGTATATAACTATACATACTATATAATGTAATGATCAATCTAATTTCCATGCTACCCTGTTAAACCTTCTGATAGCCATATTTGTGCAGTCCCAAGAGCAGTGAACTTCTTCCACTCGAAATATAGTGGCAAAATGTTTTTTACAGGGCTGGTTTTATATCTCCCAGCAGCCAACCCTCCTCTTTTTGCAGCATGGGCTTAGGACCGGCCATGGCAGAGTTTTCACTTTTATTGCTGCCACAGGGAATGTAAACATCCCTTGTGACAGCAAGAGACACCTGACAGTTATTTTTATGGAGAGGTCTTGGGGTCTATGAGACCTCAAATCCCTCCCCTGCACTTGGAAGCATTCAAAACACCAAAATCGGTGTTTATGCTTTCAGATTTTGTAAAAATGGCACCAAAAGTTTTCAAGGAAAACAGAAGTGATGTCAGCCGATTCCGGCTTTGTTTGGCTGTCTGTCCAGTCGGTGGGATGGGACGTCCTAAGAGAGTGGGGAGAGGAGGGGGCATCCAGATCTAGCCTGATATGGGGGTGCAGTAAAAAGTCGGGGGGGGGGGGGGGCAGAAGATGGCAGGTCAGAAGGACAGTGTACAGGGGTAAGCAGAGCAGAGGATAGGTTTAGCAGTTTATATGGTCATGTAAAGGAGTTCTCCAGCCAGTCGGTGGGATGGGAGATCCCAAGAGAGTGGCGGTAGTTGGTGGGGGGGGCATCCAGATCTAGCCTGATGTGGGGGTGCAGTAAAAATGTTGGGGGACAGGAGATGGCAGGTCAGTTGGACAGTGTGCAGGGGTAAGCAGGGCAGAAGATAGGGTCAACGGTTTGTGGTGCAGTGTACAGGAGCTATTAGTTTGTACGACGGAGGACAGAGATCAGCAGGGCAAAGGACAAGGGGCCAATTCTGGCAGGGCAAGGGTCACTATTAAAAGAAAAGAGGATAGGTGTCACTGCTGGCAGGGCAGAAGTCACCATTCGTGGAAGAAAGTATATGGGGTCACCATTGGCAGGGCAGGGGTCACCATTGGCGGAAAGAAGGATAGAGGTCACTGCTGCCAGGAGAAAGTCATGGGAGAAGATAAGAGTCACTGTTGCCAAAAGAGAGTATAGGGGTCATTGTCGGCAGAAGAGAGGATAGGGGGGTCACCATTGGTGTTTAAGTGGATAGGGGTCACCTCTGGCCTATAAGAAGATAGGGGCCTTCCGTTGATAAGAGGATGGGGTCATCACTGGAAAGGCAGGGCTCACCTATGGTCTTTAAGAAGATAGGGGTCATCTGTTGATGAGAGGATGGGGTCATCACTGGCAGGGGTCACCATTGGCAGAAGAAAGGATAGGGGTCAATGCTGGCAGAAGAGAAGATAGGGGTTACCGCTGGAATAAGAGAGGGTAAGGGGTCACCGCTTGCAGGGGTCACCA